TGGTTGCTATTAATTTCCACATAAGCCATTTTATTGAGCTAGGATTTGTGCCCAGGTCACTTCTGAAAAGGAGCCATATGGCTCAGTGGGGGCCTTACCTTGTAAAAATATAAATAAACATTTTTTATGAAAATGTTGCGGAGCAGTTGGAAATCCTGGCAGCAAGTGACGCTTACGTCGCTATCAAAACCCCGCGCGGTGGAGCAGCGCAAAAAAAAGTCCAATGTTTTTTTAAAATGTTGGAGTCATTATTATTATTATTGCGCGTTGTTGAAACGTCGCGATTCATCTTTGATATTTGCCGCCGACACCGTCTCTGGAGTAGTCACGGGGGAGATTGGAGGTTTACCTGAACTGTGCACTTCTCGCTCATGAGTTTCGAAGGGGAACGTTTCCAACTCCCTTCTCGTTTTTCCATCCGTATGTATCCCTGCATTGGTGTTCCCACGTTGTAGTTGCTCTGCAATCACTCCAGAATCAGACATTTTAATTAGCTCTGGAAGAATCCGATGAGCTATGAAGTTCTTTTTTGTTTTCCCAAAGATGTCCAGTTTGGAACACGGAGTCAGAATATTACAACAAGAAACAATACAAAAACACGGATAGGCGTGCAAAGTCTCATAAAGTTAAGCAAGTTAATATATATAAATAAAGTATTATTTTGTCCTGCTCGTGCGTGACTTTACAGATAGTTAAACACTGTCCCCAACAATGTATGTGGAACACAAAATGACCTGCGCTTCTTTGTAGTTATTGAAACAACTATTTTAAAGTTAAATTAGAACTACATCCAATATTCGTCGGAACCATTGTGAAACTGAAAGAAACAAAGAGAAATACAACGTTAATTGTTTTTTTTTTACCCTTTTTATCTGGCAACAAAACTGACACCTTTTTTACAAGGAGGCATGTTTGCATTGACCACAATACCTGCAGACTACTGGCAAATGAGGTTCCAATGGTGTAAATACAGCGTTGCTTACTTACACCCTTTGGCATACTGCAATCGTGTAGACTTACACATCCATCCCACAGTGTGCAATGTATACAAGTTTACAACTAGGCCATACAATGTACAAGTTCAGATTTAATATTACGTACAAGCAAGCCATTGCTCATTTAGAATTCTTTACTAAAGTCTGAATCATCGAAATATGTATCTTACAGCACAGCAATCATCCAACAATTCGACTGCAGTACTAACATTACAATAAACTTTCTCAAGGCATCTTGTTGTGGCTATCTTCAAAACGAGTACAACCACTGCACATTCACATTCATCACTCAGACCCGTCTCCTCCCGTCGAGAATTATTTCGGCTAAATAGGCAACAATAATAATACAAAATTATAAAAGTTCGGAGACAATGAGTAGTGACTCTGCGTGGTGTGCATACCTGTCAACACCCATACGGTTTGCCCGTATTCTTGTACAGGGAAATTGAGTTTTCAGGTCCATACAGTGTACAGCCGTTTCAATACGGGCAAAAAAAAACATTCTATTTGTTTGTGTTTCTCCCTTGTCATGGGACTTTGTAGGATGAACGTTGAACTTCTTTCGCACTCTACGTAGCCAACCATGCCAATCAGAGGTGCGATATAAGAACAAATTACATAAGTACAGTACATCAATTCCTGCCGATTTTTCAAAACCAAATGAATTTTTGGGCAAGGCAGCATCACGAAAAAAACTTGTCGACTCATTCAATACCCTGCTGTTGGCCAAAAAAAACCTTTACTGTTTATTTATTTGTAATTTATTCCGTTTGTTTGACCATAAAAGCCTCACCGAGTCTTATCACATTTTTCCAGGAGCGTTCTGCCAAGTTTTCACGGTGGAGGTGGGGGGGTGGGGATGATTTGAGATGTGTAATCCCAATCGGGCAAAGTTGCAGTGTAATTTTTCAAATTTGCCAAAATTTAGACCACGACGTCGGCACACAACGGCGTACTCTTGCGACTGACGCCACGGAATCTATAACGTCCGCTGCTGCGATGCAGACAGCACGTAGAGGATTATTACGGCTAATACACACACATGTCGCAGTATTAATTGGGGTGGCCGCTGGATTAGAACCGCGCGCCTCTGCGCCACACCCGCTGGGCCGCGTCACCGCCCCGTGGCGTCTGCACGGGGGTGGGGGGGGGAGTGCCACGGGTGCAATGGTGGCGAGATGTTAACTACCTCGCCTGGTATACAGGAGGTCGTGTGGGTTTGATGCCGACCCTGACGCCTGCTGTTTGTGTGTTCTCGTTCTCTCCTGTGGTTGTGTGGATTTTTCTCCAGGTCCTCCGGTTTTCCCTCCACATTTAGAATCATGTGTTTAGATTATTTGGCTGCTCTACATCTTCCACTTGATAAGCCACTTCAATGAGCTACCATTTGTTGCCAGGTAGCTTCTGAAAAATAGCTCTATAACTTAGTGGGCCTTACTTGGTAAAAGCATTTTTGTTTATATATTTGTGCGTTTATCAGTGACGATAAATACAATCCGATTATTCTAAACCTAGATAGATAATCGGATACACCCCCCCCCCAAACACTTCTACCAATCCGCACTGACCAGTATGGTGAAGTATGGTAAATATCCCACGTGACCCCCTGGGTGTGGTGATTTGTTTACCTTTCTTGAACTTTGCACGACTGTCATGTTTTCGTACTGTTTGTTGTTGTAACGTTCTTACACGCCCATCCTGGACATCTGTGAAAAGAGCTTTATAGCTCATCGGATTCCTCCAGTATAAATAAATATTCTGATTAACACGTCATGTTTCGCCACCAATATTATTCATAATAAAGGTTATTGGGTTAGATCGCGTAAGTATACATGTGTCCAAACCGTCCACCACCCGACACAGCCAATTAGTAAGGGATTTGTCTATTCTGTCAAATCGCCCGATGATGCTGGATGTAATTACCAGCGAAACGTCGTCCTAAAATTGTAAATGTTGTGGATTTACTCTCCAACACACCGGTGGTCTGAAAGTAGTAACTATTTGGCGTTTTGTTAACGTGACAAATCTCTTACTGATTGGCTGTGTCGGGTGGTGGAGGGTTTCAACACATTTATACTTACGCGATCTAACCCAAAAACCTTTCTTTTGAAAAATATTTTGATTGTATTCTGATTCTCTGTTGGTTGGAGCCCATTATCCAGCAATGGCGTGGCATTTCCGTCAGAGAGCCCGTCGTGATAATAGGAGTGTATTTTTCGAGGGAGATCTGCAAATCGATGGCAATACGACCCTGTCGAAATTTTTTTTGTCAAGAATAGAAAGTCATTACGCGCGGTTGGAATATTAAACGTCACATCGACAAACTCGCATTGATTAGAGTGCCGCTTAATTGCTACGATGCATTAACGGCGGTTGTAAAAGTTTAGATAACGCGGACGTGAAGCTTTTGTCGGCGTTATCCCGAATGGACGTGTGCGTGCGTGCGTGTGGGCGTACAAACTGGGGATCGGTGGTGTAGCGGTTAGCGTCACGCTGCGCTACGAACCCGGCGACCCGAGTTCGATTCCCGCTCACGGCCAACATCCAGTGACGATGATCTTAACCGGTCCTGGGCCTCCCCTAGGTCGACTCAGCCTCAAATAAGTACCTGGTGCGCTGTGTAAACATCGCCACTGTGGAGACAAAGGCGGCCGGGCGTGGTGCTGACCACCCAATCCCCTCGTGTGCCGTGCCGGCCTTCACAGGTGCTCGCTAACAGCACTTGCCCCGAACAGTCTGCTAAGGTTACACAGGGGATTTTTGTCTTTGTCCGAACTGCTCCGACACGACCTCAAAACTCCTGACGGCGGCGGCTGCGTCTGACTCGCACGGCGGAGCCACCGCATGGGCCGCCGTTACATAACGCGCCATCTGTGCGACTGGCTGCTGATACTAACGTTGGGATCGGACGTGCCAAAGCAAAGAGCGCAGAAGCGAGCGTGTCACACGGGTTATTTTAAGTCGGGTTTATCCAGATAAATGGTAACCCCCCCCCACACACACATTAATCTACATCGCGTGTTTTTTTTCATTTTTTCTGGAACCAAAACTTTTTTTTAATCGCCTGCAAATCTACCATCGGGAGGGAATTCTTGTTTACAGCAGCGGCGGGGGCAGGGCGAGCAGCTCAAACATGGGGAAGTTTGCGAGTTCGCATCCCGGATGTGGGGGGGGGGGTTACTCAGCCCATCATCATCATCATCTCTCTGTGGTCGATAACAATTACAACCTCCCCACACCCCCACCAAGAGGATTGTGAAATTTCCACCAATGAGTCAGGGTTGTGGACAGGACATGATCACTGCCTCGATGCTCATTTGAATAAGAAATAACTTTGACACTTCATAATTAATTTGTTTTTAAAACAGAATTATCAATTTTGATTTAAAGCTTTTGTGACTGCAGGGATTCATATTGTCAATCATCATCAGGTGTGCCACACCTTGTGTTGCAGTCGAAACGTCGTGAGAATTTATTGTTTTATATTTTTATTATTTTATTGTTTCCCTTCTACGTGACTTTACCGAAAGAACCAAGAATATGATTATCAATGTGCCTTATAATCTAATGGTCAAAACTATAACGCAGATAACATAGTCCACGGACCAGAGCGGAGAGTGGTATACCGCCTGTGGTAAGCAGAACTTTAGCCATGCCATATGGCTGCTTTCAGTGAATTACTTGATGAACCATCTAAAACGGTTATCGCACAATGCACCGTTAATTGCTTCATGAAACAAATGAGAACCACTCTAGCTATGCAAACTCAGGTTGTACCGACCAGTGCGATATCTGGCCTGGGATCTCGCAAAATCTTTAACATCTTTGGTGCCGCTTGCTTGCTGGGCCGTTCGACGTTTTGGGCCTGTACTCGAAAACAGTTTCACGTGCAAAGAAAGAAAAAAAACGATTTGCACACCAGTATGTGGAGGCCATCATCCAGCAGTGGATAGACATGAGAGCCTGATCTGTCCCCCCCCGCACCTCTCCTCATTATGTGTGCAGGTGCTCGCTGTCGGCCTCAACAAGTGGAGACTGGACAAGAAATTGGGCCTCGGCTGTTTGCTACTCTACGTGGTGTTCATCAGCTTCTCCATCCTCATCGAGTTCAACGTCTTCACGTTCGTCAACCTGCCCACGTGCCGCGAGAAATGAGCTCATACCCCCGTGTACCCCCCTCCACCCCCATCCCTCCCCTCCCTTCCTTTGGGATGACCGTCAATAGTTGTACTGCACCAGCCGTGGTCTCCTTGCTTAGGATGGCAGGGAGATTATAGAGGCCATTGATGAAAGGTGGCAGGGGAAAAAAACAAAAAATTGGAAGTGCTTTCTGAAAAGATGTGTGCACAGGGTTGTGGTGACATTGAATGACATTTCGCTGCTGCTGGAAAGTCTGATGTACGGTGTCGTCATTTCTTTCTTTCTTTCTCTCTCTCCGAAACGTTCTGTTCGTTTTGTCTGTCGATACGATGCTGGGTGTAGTTTTGCTTGTGAGAGAGATTAATAGAATCGATGTTCTGCAGGTGGCAAAACTTGCCAGGGCTTGAGACGAGTGGCTTATTCTGGTATCGTTGAATCAAAGCAATGTTTGCACTGGGTGTTTCTGTTAATTTATATTATTTTACTTGACATGTGTAATTTCTGCACGGATAAATGACTGTAAATCAATTACACTTAATTCCATTTTGCTGTAAACTACTGATATAAATTTCAGGTTTACATAATTACTGCATATAATGTTTACCTTAATTTATTGCAAGAAAGCAATCGTATAACAATGATAGCGCTTAGGTTTTTTTTCATTTCATATTTGCTACACATCACTCGAACGGCAATGGTAACTATTTACGGCAATTGTTTTTCGTAGCAGGTACAGTATGTCCTTAACTGGAAATCGAATACATTTTGCAGTGTAGTAATCCTGCAAGAAAAAGAGGATTGTTTTTCAACCATTCTCAATCCGCCGATGGTTGAAGGCTTCCCCAGGCCATAGGCAGTTGTTGGGTGGGCGGGCGGAGGCAGGGGAGGTGGTGGAGGTTTGCCACACTTCACCACGCTGGTCAGTGCGGGTTGCCGATGCGGGGGGGCTGGGGCCACTGATGTTAGCCGTTGCCGGCTCGTGGATCTCGGCTCGTTGGGTTCAGAGACGCAGCGGCACTCCCCCGCCGTACCAACCGCTTGCACCCCAAGCGGGGGGATTCGAGGGGAATTACAAATGAAAGTGCAAGGCTCGAGGGAAATATTTAAATTGGGCCTCTGCCATCCATCCAGAAGCCCCCCCCCCCCCCCCCCCCGAGGCCGCATCTGCACGTACAACTTGCCCGGCCTCCGAGCTCAGGGTGCATTCGGTTTGCGCTGTGCGGCAAAGTTGGCCGTGTTTCTCGGCAGCATTCTGAACAAGCTGCTGAACAGACGTTTCCCCCCAGTGGCGAGGGAGGCGGCAAGGGTTCACATTTTGTATTCTGCCCGGCAGTTGTGTACACAATTTGGCCCTATGGCACGCGGGGAGGATCGGTGGGGGGGGGTTCCCCATTGTCATCAAGCACACGAAGCGAAGTTCTGGGGCTCGGCTCACGATCCGATGTCCCTCGGCCTCGTGTCAAGAGCCACGAGATAATTCGCTGTAATTTTATTTATTTTTAGTACCATAATTGCACCAAAATTAAGCAACGGTAACGCAAGGACACTTAGGCCATTAACAACAATTTAGATGTTTTTTATTTGTAATGCTCTGTGAGGTTTATTTTTTACAATTAAGAAAAACAAAATAATGGCGAATATGATTGTTGTATTTAATGAGCGGTATTATAAGCAGTGAAACCAGCGGTTGTAAATAACCCACAACAAACATGCAACCAAGTTAAGAGTGCGTTTGCTTTAAGTTTTGTAGACGTTATACTGTATCTATAAGTCAAAAAAACGCACACCGGATAGGAAACACAGCATCACTCGACGTCTGTGCAATGGTAGCTATTACTCCATCGCAATCTCTGCCACCATCCTCATCACTACTATATTCACCAAATGAACAACACATACAAATATCGTAACCTTAGACGAGTGTGCAGATTCCTGCTAATAATGGATCATTTCTTGGATTTTTTAAACGACGCATTTCTAAAAAAAATGCTTTCTCTGTTTCTCTCTCTCTCTTCAAATGAAATGAATGTATTTGGGAAAGTAGTATTTTCGTCCACACTGAAAAACAGGAGGAATTCTTTGATGAGATCACTTTATTAGCGTGCATGAATTGTCGAGCTGTGAGGCTGTCTCAACTCCAATATTTGTCGTGCTGTGTCGTAGAATTACTACTTTTTGAATAGTACAAAAACTGTATGGGAATTGTATTTACACTTTACGGCATGTGCAGGGTTTGTAAAAACAATATATGTATGTACAATTTAAAATATATATGATTTAAAAAAAACTCTAAAATAATTTGTGCAATAAATGTGTGGCTTTTTATACTGTGTGCAACCTTGTCAGAGATGCTTTTGAATTCTGTGTTCATTTAACCGTACTGCATGGGAATGAATGTTCGCCGTCCTTTGTGAACCTTTGAATGCAACATTCAAATTATTTGAGCAGCATTAATCAAGCTCATTGGGGGCATTTATTATCAGTCGTTTGCTAAAAAAAAAGTCCCTTTTTACCCAACATTACAATTTTCTCTTCGAATTTTGACCCCTCGTTACACGGTCAACGTTGACCTAATTGAGAATTGGATTTGAACGAAGGCAAAACTATCGCGGGGCGGGTATGGCCAAGTGGTTTGAAAATCAACAAAAAAGCTTGAAATAGCGAGATGTTTTTGCCAAGGCTGATACAAGAAAATTTTGTAGTTTGCGTTTTTTTTGTATCGAGAAGTTTCGCTCGGAATGAAATGGAGTGGCGATTTATGTACACGTGTCGGCAATGAAACATGCAGCCTTTAAAACAATAAAAGACATCAAAAACACATCACATCCGGGTCGGTGAATTGTGCTTCGCTGCCCCTACAGTTTTAAACAAGAAGAATCACCGGTTGTAATTGGCTGGTTATGCATGCAGTGTTTTTCTATCCGTTGTTCACGCAAGTGTCAAATTTGTGTCGTTCAATTTCGCGGTATCGGGAGTGCGAGTTGGTGGATGGGAATTAGTATTTTTTTGAGGTGTGAAAGAGTTTGACATTGAGGTCTGAAGCTCTGGATGATGTCCCTGTTGGAATGTTTTTTTCTTCACATTTTGCCCGAGGTTATTTTTCTCTCCATCTTTTGAGTGACTTTGAAAACGTGGTCCCGCTCACCTTAGCTGAGGTCATTACATTTATAAATGACTAGCCATTTGCCCATCCAAGGACGGGTGTATTGCAGTAAATCTGAAACTTGCAAGCGAAAAGCAGACCGCCACGTGATATATTCATTGCATTAATGCGTGTGCAATGTGTAAAGGCGCGGTGACACAGACCTATATCATTTGAAGGTTATAATCCCTTGTTCATCGTGACGTCCTTTTTACTTTGATGTGTCAACAGCGTTACGGAGATCGCGTGACGTGAGGGTTCTGCCTTTGTAGTGAGGGTTGTGAGTTGACGTTGAGGAGGGGGGAGGAGGCGCCTCGCCCCCCCCAAGTTGGAGTGACGTCAGCCACTAATTATTATGAATGAAGGGGGGTGTCCATTTGGAGGACGTCACCTGCTCATGATTATTAATGAGAGCGGAGGGTGCTCCATGTGGAGTGACGCCACCTGCTCATTACTAATTAGGGGGGTCCATGTGGAGGACGTAACCTGTTCATGATTAGTATTAAAGAGGGGGGCTGGTCGACGTGGAGTGACGTCACGAGCGTAGCACACATACATTCTTGGCTCATTATAGTAGGTCATAATAATGGGGGGGGGGGGGTCCATTTGGAGGATGTCACTTGCTCATGAATATTAATTAGGGGGGCTGGTCAATGTGGAGTGACGTCACGAGCTTTAAGGACAGACATTCCTAGGTAAATAAAAGTATGTTATAGGTGACGTTTCGGGCAATGGCCCTTCACAGCGCATACATTCTCTGGCCTCTCGATGTGCTACGACTGGTTGTTGTCCAAGAGGTCACTTAATAACCTTTTTAAGGGAGTGTGATTGAGAAATGAAGTTTAGTTTTAATGATTCACTTGAAGACGGACGAGCTGAGTTTACGATTGCATCCTCGTGGGAGTAAGTTAACGAGGAAGAATAGGCCAAATTCCCTCTTGGGGGTGTGGGCTCTAGGGCTAGAACGCCCTCTCGTGGAGGGCCGTCAATCAGCATTGGCGTGAGCAGACAATTGCAGGGCTGCACCTTTACCCCGGTCACCGCATAAGTTACGCTCAAACAAATCGGCACACATACAATATTTTTAAATCCTTTATATTAAGTTCACTTGCTTGCTTGCTTAGGACCGTGCAAATCTTTCGGTTGTTTTTTAACCCACTTCCCGTGATCCAATCGAGCTGACATTTTGCACAGACTCGTGCGTGACAATGCATTCCAAAATTTTACACTTCTTAGGACAAAAATATTATATTTAATTACCAATTGCTTAATGCTGCCATGCAATCATCTGACCCATAGGTGGCAGCCATCTCAAGCCAGAGGACGAGAGGTCTCTAGCCGCCACGCATATAAAGGATTTATAGTGAAAAACTTTGTTTTTACGGGTTATACTTGTTACGGTTTTTAAAGCACCATATTGTGGCCACAGACAAAATGACACGTTTGCGTCTTCACTTTAAACGCGAGTTACATTTATCCATGGTAGAGATGACGTTATCTCGTTCAATGTTTACACGCGAGCTGAAGCCGATTCCATCCACGGCTTGCAATCATCTCGCCACCTCGTGGGCAGAATTAGGTACAGCGACACAAAGAAATAGAGCGGTGACCACAGCCGCACAGGGTGATCGATCCGTTTAGAGATACCCCACTAAAATATGGTGGAGATTATATCGGGCAGTGTTCTTCATTGCAAGGCCCGTGGGGACCACTAGCGGCCCCTGGTGGCCCCTGGTGGCATTTAGTGTGGCCCCTGATGTGCGCCCCCCCTCCCCCCATCATCATCATTGTGCTGCTGTCAAACCCCAATGGTTTCAAATGCGTGGGGGCCCCCTCTGAAAATTAGTGAAGAACAATTTCGATTTAAAGTTTTCGTGACTGCAGGGATTTATCTTCTTGGTTCTTTCGGTAAAGTCACGTAGAAGGGAAATAATAAAATAATACAAATAAAACATAATTAAAATACAATTTTCACGACGTTTCGGCCACAACGCAAGCAGCCGTCCTCAGGTCGTCCTCAGGTGAAGATCCTGAGGACGGCTGCTTGCGTTGTGGCCGAAACGTCGTGAGAATTGTATTTTATTATGTTTTATTTTTATTATTTTATTATTTCCCTTCTACGTGACTTTACCGAAAGAACCAAGAAGATAGTGAAGAACACTTATATAGAGAACCCAACATGTTATTTCATGGGCTCTACACGCCTCCCACCAATCTCACTCATTAACTCCTTTAACACGTGAGACGTGGAGCCGTCACTTTCGCAATATTCAATCGGCTTGTTGAGAATGAAATTAAGAGCCAATGGTCATTAAGAAATCAGTGGGGTGTCTGTAAACATATCGCCATGCTGTCATTGGATTGGACACACTCTCTTCCAGATACGGTGGATATTTGAGAAGGAATCCAACTCGTTTTTTGCAGATGTCATTCCTGAGCGCCCTTTTGCAAGGAGGAAGATACGTTTTGAAGCGTGTTCCTCTGTGTCAACGTTTTGCCCCGGCAAACCTCCTGGGCTTGACCGCGGTGTTGCGATTCGTGTCGATCAGCGCAAGACTGTGTCTTTCATCCAGCAAGTGCATTGACCATGGCTGGGGATTGTGATTGGCAGACTTGCGGCTGTCGGGGAAACTGAGGGCGGCGGCAGCGGTGGTGATGGTGAGTGAGCGGTGATGGTGCGGAGCGGTGGTGGTGAGGAACGGTGGCGCAGCGGTTAGCGCACTGCGTTACAAACCCAGCGACCCGGGTTTCGATTCCTGCTCACGCTCGACACCAGCGACGATTCTCTGAACCGGTCTTGGGCCTCCCCTAGGTCGACCCAGCCTCAAATGAGTACCTGTTGTGGTGTGTAAACATCGCCACTGGGGAGACAAAGGCGGCCGGGCGTGGTGCTGCCACCCACCCCCTCGTGTTCCGTGCCGATCTTCATAGGTGCTCGCTAACAGCACTTGCCCCAACAGTCTGTTGAGGCTAAACCGGGAATCTTTGTCTTTTGTGGTATGAGGGGCTTGGTTTGTGGCCGGGATTGTAAGGTCATGTGAATAAAACATCGTCAAAAAAATATCTTGCAAATATACGGCATTCATAATGAAACGTGTAAGCACGATAAATCCCATTACCATATTAATTTAGAGATGTGTTACATCTAACCCCGTGTGTAAATCCATATCTAAGGAGTGTGCGGGGAGAAGGGGGGCTTTTTAATGGAAAAATGAAACGCTTCGTTTTGATTCAAACTCCAATAAGCCTTTAGACAATGACCGTGATATTTTCCCTGAACAACATTCACACCTTTCAGCTGTAGAAAATTAATAGCGTAATTAAAACAAAAAATTCCACCGTCAATTATGCACGCTTTTTATTTGTAGTGTGCACTGGGAAATGCTCAGCTATCGTAAAAGAAAAATTAATTGGGCATTTGCTGGAATATTTTCCTGTTGCAATCCAGAACAGAGCTCACCGCCGGTTCGATCTTCCGGCGCGGCACTTAAAAACAATGGGGCATGTTAATAAAATCCCCCCCAGCCCCATCTCTGGTCCACACAGCAGTTTATTGATGGGCACGTCGGTGGCGTATAGTGGGGTAAAGTGTGTGGTACTCCCACGTGGGCCAGCGTGGAAGAGTAGGCCAAGAATACCCTCTCGAGAGACACTCTTGAGCTCCCGCTAGTGGACGCCCCGCTGCCAACATTGCAATCCGCAATTGCAGGGCTGCACCTTTACCTTTCATAGCAGTAAAATAGAGCCACGCCATAGTCGCTACCTCGAGAAAGTGCGGTGACAGGAATTTGACATGCAAATTCCTTTGACAAGGCGCTCATCCCCCTCCAACCCAGGTTAAATATACGCTGCCAAGCGTGGTGGTGTTCATTCAGACACTGTCTTTCCGACAGACCTGTTCCTCACCTGAGGACGGCTGCTTGCGTTTTGGCCGAAACGTCGTGAGAATTATTTTATTATGTTTTCTTTTTATTATTTTATTATTTCCCTTTTACGTGACTTTACCGAAAGAACCAAGAAGAGGAATTTGTTGTTTAGCTGCTATAGAATGCGTGAGTTGTTTTCCCCCCACATGCTCGAATATTTCACCTAAAGCTTCGTGGTGGGGGAAAAAATGGTCGTGTTTCTTTTTTTTGTGAACAAAACTGAGCAATTTTTTCCAAGATCTCTGTTCAACATTTGGCAGAGTTCCCCATTTTTACTTCCCCAATCAGAAATTTGGGGGCGTTAAATGTTCCAAAAAAATAAATTGGCAGCATCTCTTCTGTGATGTTGCACACTTTAATCTGACAGTCACATTTTGGCACTTGTGAAATAATTAAATTAGTCATGGACTCATAGACTAATAGCATATAGCAGCCATCAAAACCGCATTTCGTCAAAAAACAGTGATTTCCATGCTCAAATTAGCAATGTGGCGTTGCTGATTTCCTGTTTACAGCCCTGAGCCAGTGATTCATAACTCCCTGTTCCTATGACGGGGCAGGTCTAACCGTAGGACAACTACGGTTGACTTCCCCATGAAGTGGTACTCATTTGACCGATCTCGCAGGGATGATGGGTGGAATGGAAATAATAAAATAATAAAAATAAAACATAATAAAATTATTCTCACGACGTTTCGGCCACAACGCAAGCAGCCGTCCTCAGGTGAAGAAAGAACCAAGAAGATGAATCCCTGCAGTCACAAAAGCTTTAAATCGAAATGATGGGTGGAGTCAACCTCCCAACGTGGATTTGAACTCGCAACCCCTGACTGCGGACCGCTCACTTTACTATTGAGCCACCTGGCAAACTGCATATGCCCACTTACAAATGCTGTGATTCACAAAGCACATGCGTCCCTCTCCAGCCAGTGTATTCCCACAACACGGTGGCATGAGATGTAACTACATTGCCCGGTATACAGGAGGTCCGTGGGTTCGATCCCGATCCCGACCCTGATGCCTTTATTATTTGTAGTTGTGGACACGTGGATTTTTCTCCCGGTCGTCCAGTTTGTTTTCCTCAACGTTGAAAAAACATGCTTTTAGACTATTTGGCTGCTATACATTTCCATATGATAAGCCACTTCGTTGAGCTATCGTTTGTGGCTAGGTTGGTTCTTAAAAAGAGCTGTGTAGCTCATTGGGCCTTACCTGGTAAAATAAAATAAAAATGGTTTAAATAATTTTACCTCTGTATGTGCACCACAAAGCTACAGCAGACGTTATAGGAGATCAACCTCAGATTTGGGACCACAATCACACTGACAGTGTGCTCCAGCCAAGTGTCATGTTTACTCATGCAACATACATCATATGTATAGAGACCCTCAAGCTGTCTGCGTCTGTCTGTTTGTGCTTTTGTCTCTGTGTCATCTCAGCCAGTCATCTCAGTCAATCAATCGATGGCACCTGGGTCTGTCCCGTGACCTCCTGCCAGAGGTCGCAAACGGGTTTTGATTCCTTACCCGTACCCGTACCCGGCCGCACCAGGGTCGCAAACGGGTACCCGTACCCTACCCGTGCCCGGCCGGGTATGGGTAGGGTACGAGTATCGGGTACTTGATTGCGACCTCTGGGATGAAGCCATGTTTCAGGCGCGGGTGGGTTGATTCTAGGAACCTGAATTGTGAGAAGAGACAAGACGTTGGGAAATGAGTGACAAACGGTTACTCACCAGTGACTCACGGCCTACCCGTATCCGTACCTGGCCGCACCAGGGTCGCAAACGGGTACTCGTACCCGGCCGGGTACGGGTAGCCGGGTATCAGGTAGAATACGGGTATCGGGTACCCGGTTGCGACCTCTGCCTCCTGCACCTAGCTTGGCACAGCAGTCAACCCATGGCACCCGGTTCTGTCCCGTGACCTCCCGTACCTAGCCTGGCACAGCAGTCAACCAATGACACCTGGGTCTGAACCGTGACCTGTCAGCGAGCCTTCTACACTTCACGTGGCCTCAAAGTGCACCTAGCCTGGCACAAGCGCCGTGGTGACGTCACCACCACTTTGTAGCGAGTGGGGGCTGTTGTGAATGTGCGTTGTGTGTCTCTGTGGTATTTACTCTCTCTCTCTCTCTCTTTGTCTCTCTGTGTCCATACATCTGGCTTGTGTCTTTGTGCGTGTGTTTGTTGTTCTCTAACTGTTCTTGTGTCTCTGTGTATGTGTGTGTGTCTGTCTGTCTGCCTGTGTCTTGTATTTGTGTGTCTCCCTCTCTCTGGCTGTATTGCTGCGTCTTTGTCTATATATGCATCGATGTTGCCTTTGGGGCTTCTCTCTTTGTGTGTGCATGTTCCTGTCTGTATTTCCCTCTGTGTCTATGCCATGTGAAGTAACTCTAAAATAACTATTGGCACGCCAACTTAAAACCGTTCCCCATCGGGAAACTGATAGAATGTATTTATTACCTGGCTTCATGGTGTCAAATTCAGTCTTATTATCCGCCCTGTCTCTCTGAGCTACTTGTGTGCTATGAAGTAGGGTGTTTGCCTGAAACGTCACCTCATCTATATTTCCTTTTAAGGCCGCACACTGTTGTGACGAATATGTTGAGTGGTTTCTCATTACGAAACTCTCATCACCCGTAATTGACCGCGCAAGGTATGACGACGCGGAACCTGATTCACACACACGACGAGGCATCCTCACAAGCAAGCGATAAACCACTCCGCCACGCCTGATGCAATCATCTGCCTCATTAACCGGCCCAATGTAAAACTACAGATGTCGCTCTACAAACCATATAACAACCGTACAAATAATAACAGATTTATAGATTCTAATGCAGAACAATGCACTCACATAGAGATCCAAAGGCAATTTAACGCGCAGTAGGCTTTCGCGACCAATATTTTCCATAATCGAGGTTTGTTTGGGTTAGATCGCGTTTTTGGGTGAAGTGATCAAACCAAAAACACCTCTATTACGGACCCACAGGCAACTATAACTATTTTTTTATTTCACCAGGTAAGGCCCACTGGGTTATATAGTTATTTTATCAGAAGCGACCTGACCACAAATGATAGCTCAACAAAGTGGCTTATCGTGTGGACATTTAGAGCAGCCAAATATTTTAAACGCACATTAATTCTAAATGTGTAGGGGAAAACTGGAGGATCCAGAGAAACATCCACGCGACCACGGGGAGAACAGGAAAACTCCAAATGTACAGGGTCGACATCGAACCCACGACCTCCTGTATACCAGTCAAGGTAGTTAACATCTCGCCACTCACACAGAGATCTATAGATTCGAATACAGAACAATATAGATTCACGTAAAGAATACATTCACATAGAGACCCATAGATTCAGGTAAAAATATATAGATTAACATACAGAACAATAAATACACTCACAGAGAGACCCATTGACTCACAGATGTATAATAAGAAGACATGATCACAGCAGCGATGCAAAATCTGATTCTTTAGTTATCGTGGATAAATTCGATTAGCTATAAAGCTCTTTTTCACAGATGTCCAGTAAGGGCAGGTCAGTAAGTTACAACAAACACACAATACAAAAACACGCTCGGAGTATAAAGTATCGGAAAGGTACTCTTAGGTTTTTTCGGTAAAGTCAAGTAGGTAAAACATGTAATAAAAAATAATAAAAGTAATAATAGAAATAAAATTTTTACTTTCTATTATTACTTTTATAAATTTTTAATTAAATTTTTTACCTACGTGACTTTACCCAAAAAACCCTAAGAGTATGAATCCTTGCAGTCACGAAAACATCTATTCTAGATATCGGAAAGGTAAGCAAATCGTTCAAAATAAATCCATCATAATACAGCAACTCCGCTAATCCTGGCGCAATCATCCGTCTCATGAAGACTGGTGGCCTTAATCTAAGTTGTCTTGTGGTTGTTGCTGTTGTTGTTTGACTTGCATTCCACTGGGATTTTTGCACACAGCGTTGGTGTACGGTGCTTTTTCTGCAATATTTAGCTGTCTTCTCTTGGATTTTCTGTTTGCACATAGTCACTTTAAGATGTTTTCTTGTCCATGTTTTTGTTTTTTGTTTGTTGCGGTTGCACCCGATTCAAGAGCCGAATTGCTCACAGGGCTATACCTAATAAATGAACTTGAACTTGATGAACCACCTCGCTGTAGAAGGACAGCTCTCCGTCAATGTCAGCCACGTGGTGAAGAAGTGGACAGACCAGCCCTTAAGACCCCACAACAAGAACAAAAGCAGCCGTAAAAAAAACTCGTTTCTCTTTATTTCTTTAGAACTGAAAGCTCATTTCTTTAGAACTTCGTTCCGTGCGTTCAGTGTGTCGTCTTTCCGCAAACCACCACCCCACCGCGCACCTGCGATCAGCACGGTTGTTGTTGGCTTTACGCATGGTGCGAAAGAAGTTGGACATCATAATAGTTTTTTTACCCTTCTATATGGCAACAAAACTGGCAACAAAACTGACACCTTTTTCCTTGTAAAAAAGTGTCAGTTTTGTTGCCAGATAGAAGGGTAAAAAACCAATTATCATATTTTTACTGGCAAATGAGGTTCCCATAGTGTATAGTTGGACATCCACAAAAAGTTGAATATCCACAAGAAGTTGACGAGGAGGCATCTTTTTAAATCCTTTATATTAAGTTCACTTGCTTGCTTGCTTGCGTGCTTGCGTGCTTGCTTGCTTACGACCGTGCAAACCTTTCGGTCGTTTTTTAACCCACTTCCCGTGATCCAATCGAGCTGACATTTTGCACACAGACTCGTTGTGCGTGACAATTAATGTTCGTGAAAAAAAATTCCCAAAATTTTACACTGTTTAGGGAAAACAAATTAAATATTTCATTACCAATTGTTTAATACTGAAGACAATCATCTGACCCATAGGTGGCAGCCATCTCAAGCCAGAGGACGAGAGGACTCTAGCCGCCACGCATATAAAGGATTTATAGTGAAAAACTTTGTTTTTACGGGTTATACTTGTTCCCGTGTTGGCAGCAGAGGGCGTCCCCGTGTGAATGTTGTGGGGGCTGCCCGGGCTGCCCGGACGGGCGGGCGACGTCTTCCTGACGTCAGGACGGAGGCAGGGGGACTTCGGTCGGAGCGAATGGGAGGGGGAGCAATGTTCTTCACGTTTCTCTATCTCTGTGTGGTTTTTTTTAAATGCCGCTTTTATTTCATTATTTCTCCGCTTTAAGACCCAGAACTCCCTCTCTCTCTCTTTTTTTCTTGCTTTTTCTCCTCCTCCTCCTCCTGCCGCTGCTGCTGCTCTTTATTCTGAAGGCAACAAGCGAGCAGCAGCTGACGTCACCGACAAAAAACACAGACGGACACACACGGAGACAACACACGGAGACAACACACTGAGACACACACACACTGAGACACACACACTGAGACACACGGACAAACACACACACACACGGACACACACACACGAAGACACACACACAAACACACGGAGACACACGAAGACATACACACACACACACGGATACACACACACACACGGACACACACACACACACGGATACACACACACAAACACACGGAGACACACGGACACACACACACACACGGACACACACACACGAAGACACACACAAACACACGGAGACACACGAAGACACACACACACGGATACACACACACACACGGACACACACACACGAAGACACACACACAAACACACGGAGACGAAACAAAGTGGCGAGCAAGGCGGGAGAGGATGAGTCGGTGGTGCTGGACATGAGGAGGAGGCGGAGGAGGAGGAAGAGGGACGACGATGTAGTTCCCGGCGGAGATTCTTCAACTTCTACTCGCACCGGCCTCACGCTTTGTTGGTGAGTTCTTCTTCAACGCGCACTCGTGTGGTTAGTGTGTGGTATGTGTGTTGTGTGTGTAGTGTGTGTAGTGTGTTGTTATTGTGTGTGTGGTGTGTGTGTAGTGTGTGTAGTGTGTAGTGTGTTGTTATTGTATGTGTGTAGTGTGTGTGTTGTTATTGTGTAGTGTGTGTAGTGTGTTGTTATTGTGTGTAGTGTGTGTAGTGTGTTGTTATTGTGTGTAGTGTGTGTAGTGTGTTGTTATTGTGTGTAGTGTGTGTAGTGTGTTGTTATTGTGTGTAGTGTGTGTAGTGTGTTGTTATTGTGTGTAGTGTGTGTAGTGTGTTGTTATTGTGTGTAGTGTGTGTAGTGTGTTGTTATTGTGTGTTGTTATTGTGTGTAGTGTGTTGTTATTGTGTGTTGTTATTGTGTGTGTAGTGTGTTGTTATTGTGTGTGTAGTGTGTTGTTATTGTGTGTGTAGTGTGTTGTTATTGTGTGTGTAGTGTGTTGTTATTGTGTGTGTAGTGTGTTGTTATTGTGTGTGTAGTGTGTTGTTATTGTGTGTGTAGTGTGTTGTTATTGTGTGTGTGGTGTGTGTGAGTGTGGTGTGTGTGTGGTGTGTGTAGTGTGTAGTGTGTTGTTATTGTGTGTGTAGTGTGTTGTTATTGTGTGTGTGGTGTGTATGTGTGTCGTGTGTATAGTGTGTGTGGTGTGTGTAGCCGAGTTTAAACTCCACATTGTCTTTGCGGTTTTTGTGTTTCGTTCACCGCCACCACCACCATCATCACCATCCTCGCCATCATCAACAACTTCATACCAGCGGTGTCAACTTTGGAGCCGCGCCGTTGAATTCGTCGCTTCGTTCGTTCTTGTTGTTGTCGTTGGGTGATGCCTGATTTTGGTTAGGGTAAACTTGTGGGTAAACCGTTGGACAAGAGTCGCCAATCATCGTCATTTATCCTCAACGCTGTTGACCACGTCTAGAGCAGAGACACCCGTGTGGAGTTTTACGGTGTGAAACATTCACAATAATAGCGATTAATAATTATTGCACCACGCGAGTTGTAGTGTTATTTAGTCTTCTGTACTCTATTGCCGATTTTAACGGAACAATGTTTTTGGTTTTTTTTGGTCATAGAATCACACACGCCTCGCATTGTCCGGATTATAAGACGCATCCTGTAACAAGCGTGTGCCCGGTGTCAATAATGTTGTTAACTCTTCGACAAAATCTGGTCTCTCTCTCTCTCTCTACCCTCAAGCAAACATGATAATACGAGGCACCACGTAGCCCACGATCGCTTATAGCCACAATAAAGTGTTTACTGCACAAGAGTAAGAGCGCGTCTTGTGATTCTAAACAAAAGGGGGGCAACTTCCAAAGTTTCCTTTCGGGGAGTGGTTTCCACGGTTTCCCGGGGACAGACTTTGCAGAGACGTTAAGGGGCGTCGTGCTAGCATCTACAATTGTAATCGCTAAAAGTGGCTTTTTATTTGTACTTTTGTTTTCATATTACAACTCGGCGGCTGCACTATCCAAGTCAATGTGCAACGTTCGTTCGACGTCGATTCATCCGCTGGTCCACCGGAATCAGAATCGGAATTTTTTTCCTGGAGGAATCCGAAGAGCGATGAAGCTCTTTATACAACATTGGGTTCCAACGTCGACCCAACGTTGCATAAACACATTGTCCTACGGAGGGAGCTGGTAGGAACGTTGGGTTGCTCGGTCAATGGCCTGCAGGGTCAACGGCGGCGTGGTGTATTCCGCAAATATGCCCGACTGTGAGGGCGGGCACAAGCCGGCGTGAGTAGGTTAAAGTTGAGTTTTATAAGGGCACCACGGGGTGACCAGCCCCTCCCCACCCAGCCCCACCCCTCCCACCCAGCCCCACCTAGCCCCACCCTCCCCACCCTCCCCACCCAGCCCCTCCCCACCCAGCCCCACCCTCCCGTCCCTGCACGACGGACGGACGGACACAATAATCTCCTGTGGGCTGGTGTAACCAGGATGTTCCTACCAGTATTACTGGGACGTCAACCAATTACGACTGTAGTTGCGATAAGAATTATATATTTGTCTTTTAAGGGAGGAACTCGCGTAAAATTCCACGGTGTCACAATGTACTCGGACTAACAGACCTTTAGTGATCTTTTCTACATACTGTAATAACCAGGAGGTTGGATGGTGCATTCATTTGTCGAGGCTGTGTCAAACCCACTGATTTTATCCCATGAATAAGCCACGTGCTCTAAACCAATAGAAAATTACAGCTGGTATGTTACAGTCTTAGAATTAGTGAAATTTTGACTGGCAGCTTGTATAATCTGTGGAAATGTCCTTTTTGGCGTGTTTAGTTCGTTGTCCCCCCCCCCCGCACCTCCAATTAGCGCTGTTGGCTACGTGCTGTGCGAAAGAAGTTCAACATACATACACACATGCCGGCAGTCAACTTCCTTGGTTTGCGTTTCAGTCATGTGCATGTCGTGTTTCGCAACACGTGAGTCCGTTTAACCATCGTGGGTTCCCCTGCCAAAGCTGCAAATAAAATCTATTGAAAATTTGTGACATAAAGTTTTGCCATTGACAGCGGCACATGGTTTGTTGAAACACTAAATAGGCAATGGTTTAAATAGGCTTTCAGTATATATATATTTTTACCATCCAAAGCTACGCTGCATTTTGTTGGTGAAGTTGTGCACGCCGCAGGTGTGATTTGGTGATGGTTTAAACATCCCTCGTGAATTTTTTGGGTGAGATAATGGACGCAGCAGCTGAGTTGCTTGTGGTGTGACACACCACCGAGGTGTCTCTGCAATGTCTTGCACACCATCGCGGTATTTTGGCAATGACGCATAGCGGCCGAGATCGTGTCCCATCCCCGCAGAAGGCGCTCTGTCGGTCGGTCAAGTTACAGCGTCAACCAGGCCACTCGTCCGCACCCCGAGGGCATTGACTTCTCGCACATCCACAGCAGTTCACCGCTCTCGGGCCTGCCGTGCAAGAATCACGAGTCTCCCCGTGCTGCTGTCGGTTGAAGTGTTCTTTGGTTCTTTCGGTAAAGTCACGTATAAAGATCAAATAATAAATTAAATAATAGCATACTACGACGTTTCGATTGCAACACAAGCAATCTTCATCAGGTATACAAGAAATAGCAACAGAAATCTAACCAAAAATCTAACCAAAAATCTAACCAGAAAACTATAGACAGACATACAAGCAGACAGACATCATATATAGTTTTCTGGTTAGATTTGTGTTGCTATTTCTTTTATACCTGATGAAGATTGCTTGTGTTGCAATCGAAACGTCGTAGTATGCTATTATTTAATTTATTATTTTATCATTATACGTGACTTTACCGAAAGAACCAAAGAATAATTCCTGCAGTCACGAAAGCTCCGAAATTGGTCTTGAAGTGTTGTTGGTTGAGTATCGAGCACAACTCGGGAGAGACGTCGCTTGTTTTTCAGTGGGTTTTTTTTTCTGCTCTCTCTCTTTGCAACCCCATGCCATCACTTTTGTTTTGGTTGCGAATGCTTGGCACACGACATCATCGAGGCCGAAAGTAGAGTTCGTGATTGCTTGCCAAGCTCACTGGCCCAGTACCAGTCTGCTAATTTGACCAGATATATTCCCAGCACTCTTTTGTTGGATCAGCTTCAGCCACCAGAGCCCTTTGTATCACCAAATATGATGCGGTGATGGCCCAATGCCAGCATCAGAGGTGCATTTGATTGTATTCAAGTGATATCCCTGTGACACCTAGGCACTGTAATATTGTAGATGGTGAATATTACTGCACAGTACTTAGTTATGCGGATGGTCACCACAACAGACTTGCAGTCCAGACTTTGTCGGATCGATTCAGTTTTACGGCGCTGAAGTTGAGGTTTATTTAAACTTCCCCGCCTCTGTCCACTCAGCAGTCCGAATGGGTACAACCATAGTTGTTGGCAGGATCGGTTGCGTGTGGTGGTGGTGGTGTAAACTGTATGGGGAGCAGTAGTGCAAGGGTTAACGCACTGCGTTACAAACCCGGCGACCCGAGTACGATTCCCGCTCACGGCCAACACCGGCGACGATTATCTAAACCGGCACTGGGCCTCCCCTAGGTGGACTCGGCCTCAAATGAGTACCTGGCGCGGTATGTAAACCTGGTCACTAGGAAGACAGGCGTGGTGCTGGCCACCCACTACCTCGTGTGCCGTGCCAGCCTTCATAGGCGCTCGCTAACAGCACCTGCCCCAACAGTCTGTCACAGGCTAGATGGGGGATCTTTGTCTCTGGTGTAAACTGTGGTTATTCTCACCTCTTCCAAGACGGCTGGCCAGCTTCGAAAAGGAGGACAAATTACCCTATAGAGAGGTTCCCAAATAGAGGCCCTTCTGCCAGCAGTGGCACGAGCTAATACTTACACGGCCTGCACCTCTACCTATTGCAGTACTTGTGCTTAAATCCATACTTTTAATCGCGTTCCTCTTCGGCACGTGTGTGTGTGTGTGTTTATGACATTTGTTTATTATAACTCTTGTGAGCGTTCCGACATCCATCTGCATTTAGTTTCCTCCACCCCCCCAACAACCCCCCAGGCCAAAAAACAACGCTCGCCTGCTGAGGGTCTGGTTGGTTGTAGCCCTTTTGTCTTGTAACTAAACCCTGGGCTCCGGTCCCTATTGGCTGTGTGGTTTTTTTATTTCTAGGGCCACATTTTGTTCGAGGGGTTTTCACTGCAAGATGATAGATGGCTCCATGTGGGTTTGCCTGTCAGTGTCTCGCCGTAGCCTTTAACTCATTGTCTTGGAGCTCGGCGAGTCGGTTAGTTACACAACCAAGGCATTGTTGTTTTTTTACAGCGGTGCCCTTCATGCCAACCAAGTTTTCAGAAGCTGATACGTGAGCGAGCAAAAGAAATGGAAAACAGAATGCACAGTAGAGACTGCCCTATGGACTAGTTCTCCAGCTTTGCAGCCGGATTCATTATTGCATGGTGAAATTTTTCACGGCAAGGGAGGT